TAAAATTGTGAGTAAGGATGAATGTAATAGATATATCTGAATCTGAGAATATAAGTTTGTGCCATGAAGTCATCACCTTTAATCCCAGCACCCAGGAGACAGAAACACAAGGATTTCTGTGTGTTCAGGTCTTGGACCACATAGTGAGTTCAAGTCAAGCCAGGGCTATTTGGTGAGACCTTGTCTCAAAACAGCATTTTTTAACTTGGAAGGGAAAACAAAGTTCACTGGCAGATTCATTTTAGAAAACAACACACCTAGAGTCATTAAACAGTCGCAACAAAAGGCTGTGACAGAATTCTCACAAGCAGTAGGAAAACAGAGTAAGAAAAGCATGACCTTACCAAGAGTGACAAAAGACCTAATTTCTGTTGCAATAAGCTTTTTTTTTTGTTTGTTTTTTGAGACAGGGTTTCTCTATGACTTTGGAGCCTGTTCTGGAACTCGCTGTTGTAGATCAGGCTGGTCTCAAACTCACAGAGATCCGCCTGCCTCTGCTGGGATTAAAGGCGTTCATCACCACTGCCTGGTGATAATAATCCTTAAAGGAAAAAGATGATAGAAAATGGACGAAGGGTGTTGACAGGGAGTAGCAGGACAATAAGGCGCCACTGGCCCTAAAGGTGCCCAGCCTTTGACAATGACATACCAGTCAAGAGGATAAAAAAGACACATGTTCAGAACTGGGGGAGTCATGGGTTCCCTCATCAACTCTTGGGGAGGTGATACATTTGTGAAATGTTCTAGAGGAAATTTGGCATATGAATATTCTTTGGCCAGTGTCTTGTTTATCTGTAAGGATTTCTCAGAAAGTGAAAAAGTGTGTAAAGACCACACTGGTGTGCATCTGTCCTGTTCCTGGCAGTAGTGAGCCTTGGGTGCAGCAGTGTGACAGCCAGTAAGGGCTTGTGTAAGCAACTTTGTGCTAGCCAGCAGGGAATAATCCAGTCTTGGTATGTTTGCAATGGGGAGAGATAACAAGATAACCTAGGACATTTAATCGACTTGCAAAACACTACGTAAAATACCAGTCCACCTTCCCACATCGTAAAGATAACTCATTAACATTTCATTGAGTGTGGCGGTGGGTTTTCTCTTGTTTCTTGGAAACCGTATTGAGAGAGCACAGGATGGTGGAAGGAACCCATAGTTTTGAGCAGTGGAGTGGAGGATGGGGAGAATGGATGAGTGAGTGTTCAGGTGAGCAGGTGCCAAGCAGCCACAGCCCTCCTGTTTACCCTTGCTGCTTTCGTAGGGCTGCCTTGCCTTGGGTTTTGTTTTTGTTTGTTTTGTTTCTCAAGACAAGAGTTTCCCAGTGTAGCTTTGGAGCCTGCCCTGGAACTCTCTCTGTAGACCTTGCTGTTCCCGAACTCACAGAGATCCACTTGCCTTTGCCTCCCGAGTGCTGGGACTAAAGGTGTTCAGCATCATCATCCAGCTTCTGTCTTGTTCTTTCTTAGCACTACCGATTTTTAATTTCTTTCATGAAAGATAACATAATTGATGAAGTATCAGGTTAGCTTATTATTGTTATCTTTGCTTTATTATTCCTGCTGTCATCTGTATGTTAAGGTTTTGTTGTTTTAGTGAGTGGTTTTTTGTTTTGTTTTTCATAACATTTTTGGGGGGCGGGTTTCAAGACAGGGTTTCTCTAGCTTGGAGGCTGTCCTGGAACTCGCTCTGTAGACCAGGCTGGCTTTGAACTCACGGAGATCCACCTGCCTCTGCCTTCCGAGTGCTGGGATGACAGGCGTGCGCCACCACCGCCTGGCTCATTACATTTTCTAAGAAAGCCCATGAGACTCAGCCAGCACACTATAGACTTTCTGGTTATATCTGTGTGTTACCTCACTTTTATAGCTCATGAAGGCAAGATGGTATCCTCCACGCCAGCCTGCTGCCTCACTTGAGGGCTCTGAGTTTGAATATAGTCACGGTTGCCTTTGTTGAAGTCAAAGCAAATGCCACTTTAGTCTCAGTCTCCCCAAATCTTACCCTTTAGCCCAAGCTGGATTGGAACTCATGAGCCTCCTGCCTCAGTCTCCTGAGTACAGAATGGCAGGCATGGACTACCATATGTAGCTTACTGTCCCCTGCCAGGCAGGGGAACCATGGGGACACATGTAGAATGGTGTATAGCAGTTCTCGGAACCAGGAGGATGTGTGTGTGTTCTGTGTTGGAGCCACATGGTAAATGACTGCCTAATTGCTGAGTCTCTGTGAAGTTGCCACCATTATTACTGGACTCTTAGTGCTGTCCAGTGGTGATTTCTATAGTGGTGGGGGTATTCTGAGTTGTTTAACTTATCATGTACAAAATTGCGCTTTGTTTCTTTGTTTGGTATATGTTGTATGTTTGCAATGCTTTAGGTCATGATTAGATCATGTTATCCCAGCCATTTAGGGGTAAGTATCTGGTATGTATGAAACATGAGCATTACAGAGTTATTTGTGTTGACCTCCCCCCCCCCCCATGATGGTGGTTCTTTTCCATGTTTTTGTTTATGCTGGGATTTCAGGAAACACCAAAGACCATGTTAGCTGTTATTTGCTCATTTCCTAATTGTTTCCATGATGCTGGCCACGCTTTCACCCTCAAATCCTAATTACGTAACAAGCCTCAGGTGTCTGGTAGCTGTATGTGTTGTGTGGACACCAAATTGAACAACACAGATCAAGACGATCAAGATCTGAGAGCCGGGTGGTGGTGGCGCACACCTGTCATCCCAGCACTAGGGAGACAGAGGCAGGTGAATCTCAGTGAGTTCAAGGCCAGCCTGGTCTACAAAGCAAGTTCCAGGACAGCCAGGAAACCCTGTCTCGAAACAAAACAAAACAAAACAAAACAAAACAAAACAAAACAAAACAAAACAAAACAAAAAAGATCTGAGAGAGATTATCAGCCACCTTCAACTCTCTGACAGTTATATACATTGTACCCGATGGCTATAGAAATATTCTTTCAGGTGTATGGAACTTCTACAGACAGAACAAATATAGACCTTGAAATCTCATGGAGTATAGTCTGTGACTAACGATATTAAACTAGGAAATAGTAATAAGACCTAATCTCAGCACTTGGGAGACAGAGGCAGGTGGATCTCTGTTGTGAGTTCCGGGCCAATCAGGGCTATGTGTGAGATCCTGTCTCAAAAACTGACAAAACTAACAAAGAACAGAGTAACAAGAAGCTACCTAAAACTGACCACAAATATGGAAACCAGAATGACACTTCTAAATAATTATGGGGCAAGGAAGTTTTAAACTAAATGATAATAAAAGTACACCTTATCAGAGATTGTAGGCATATAATTTGGCATTCTATTAAAAAAGGGAGTAAGGGAGCATTCTAACATGATTAGAATTGAGGATTGTAGCATTAAATGAAAGAATCCAGGCATAGGAAATAAGTGTCCTACAGTCTTACTTGCATGTGTGATCTAAGAGTTTGTCTCAGTTGAGCTTCTGATGCTATGTAGTTACAGAGGCTGGGAAGGAGGGAGTATGCCAAAAGCTTGATCAGTTATAGTTATAGTTATTGTTATAGTTATAGTTAGATAAGTCCTGGAAGTCCTGGTGTATAGTAGGATGACTGTAGATAATTGCGTAAGATAGATTTAAATCTTGAAAGAGTTTGATTATCTGTGCCATAAAGACAAGATAAGGAGATCGATATACTTAACCAGATGAGAACATTACACAGTCTATTTAATGTATAAAAATATCACCTGGTAAGTTATAAAATAAAAAATTGTATTTAGATTTGCTTTACGTATATGAGTATTTTGCCTGCATGTATTTATGTTTGTGGTGTGTGTGTCTGGTATGTGTGTAGGTTAGAAGAGGACCTCGGATTACCTGGAACTGGATTTACATGATTGTGGGGGCAGGGAATCAAACGTGGGTCCTGCAAGAACAAGTGCTCCTAACCACTGAGCCAGCCCTGCTTTTTAATGTCTAATGTGTCAAATAAATTTTAAAATTAAGAGAGGGGTAAATTATCCTAAATTACCACTTGAAACAGAAAAATAACCCATAGTGAAGCAGCCAGAAGAAAATGAAAGTGCTATCAGTAGAAGACTAACAGTCTAGGAAAAAGTCAGTAGTGTGGCACACCTTCCTTTACTAACTTGTAAGCTTCCGGTGACTGACAGTGAGAGTCATGAAGACTATTCCTACTTTAGAAGTTATATAGAGGAAAGCAGGATTAAATTGAGTTTTGCAGCCGGGCGTTGGTGGCGCACGCCTTTAATCCCAGCACTCGGGAGGCAGAGGCAGGTGGATCTCTCTCTGTGAGTTCGAGACCAGCCTGCTCTACAAGAGCTAGTTCCAGGACAGCCTCCAAAGCCACAGAGAAACCCTGTCTCGAAAAACCAAAAAAAAAAAAAAAAAAAAAATTGAGTTTGGCAACTTAAGATTCTTTACGTAATGGAAGTTTCAACTTTGTTGTATTCAAATTCATATCAGTGTTGCTCTGCGTAGTCATGCATTCCTTTCATTTCATTTGGGAGGTAGAGGCAGGCAGGTTTCTGAAAGTTCAAGCCTAGCCTGGTGTTCATAGGGAATTCTAGACCAGCCAGAGGTATACAGTGAGACCCTGTCTCAAAAACAACAGAAGTGCATGTTAGTATTCTGAAACATGTATTTTGGAAAACAGTGGTGAAGTGCAGGATAGAATCTACAAACTTACTTTATAAAGCCAGGAAAGAACTTTAAAGTTGATAATTCCATACCTTTAGTACCAGCACTCGGGAGGCAGAGGCAGAGGCAGAGGCAGGTGGATCTCTGTGAGTTCGAGGACAGCCATGACTGTTACACTGAGAAACCATGTCTCAAACAAACAAATAAAAACAAACAAACCCAATCTAGAACATGTTTACTTTCAGGATAAGGTGTTTCCACAGGAGTTTGCAGAAGTGATCACCTCAATAATTGGTAGGAGTCTCATTAAACTTGGGGGAGGAGGACATGTAAATAAACCAAGGTTTTTTTTCTTACAGGTTTATTGACAAGAAGGAAAGGCTAAGCCAGCTTAAGAGAAAACAAGAAGAATTTCAGAAAGAGTAAGTTTTTATTCTTTAATTTGTAGAGGTTGTCTGTGGCCACTTAGTTTAATCTGTTGCTGCAGTGTGCTGATATGTGAATTGCCAGCTCATTTAGCAGACTATCTTTGAAGGTGCCGGGAAGCACACCCTGGTAGTTCAGTGGGTGGAGCATCGGACTCTTAAAGTGTGGGGAAAGGCTGGAGAGTAGTCTGAGAGGGGTGAAGCAGGAGAGAATTCCAAGTTTCTAGAAACTCGTGGCCCAAGGCTGGAGTCCTTCCCACAGTAATGGCGTGGTGTTTGGACAGGGCAGTCACCCTTGGCCCTACTCACTGATGGTGTCAGGTGGTCCCACAGCAGCAGATTATGTGAGACCCAAGTTAGTGTTCACAGAGGCGGCTCCCACAGGACCTCACCACTTCCCTTTATCTTCTTTGGTAACCAGTGAAGGGCAGTGTCTCTTTTGGTAATCAGTTTAGGGCAGTAAAGCTCCAGGTGTCAAAATTCAGTAGCCAAGATATGTTTTAGGATGCAGATTCCTGGACTCCTAGCCTCAGATACCCTGATGAAGTAAATCTAAGTGAGGTTCAAGACTCTGAGTTGATAGCCAGCACCCTGTGACTCCCTTACCTCTTAGGCTTGAGGATTCTTCTGTAGAACCTTCTGCCTAAACTGACCTGGTAGCTGTCGTGTGGTGCCTGGCGGCCTTTGACCTCAGCCAGGGTTGGCAGTATGCACCTATATCCAGAAGGCTGAGTTCAAGACCAACCTGGGTACACAGCAAGAGCCTGTATTAAAAACAAAAGTAAAAATAAGGGCTGGAGAGATGGCTCAACCTTTTTAAGGACTACTCCTCTCCATGCATGTCTTGTCCATCGCTTGAGGCCCTCTGCTGACCCTTCCCAAACCGGACCAGTGTGGACATATCTTCACTGGTAGAGACGACTGGTATATGTGCCAGTGTTTCCACAATGGGCTCTTTCTTTTTGGTAATATTTTATTTTAAATTGAACACGAAGAATTCAAGTACAGCCTTAAGTTTTCAATTTTACACTTTGATTATCAAGAAAGCAATTACTCTATCAAAGAAACATGTTGAACTAACTAAACAGAAAACAAAGTCAGTACTTTTTTTTTTTTTTTTTTTTTTTGGTTTTTCGAGACAGGGTTTCTCTGTAGCTTTGGAGGCTGTCCTGGAACTCACTTTGTAGACCAGGCTGGCCTCGAACTCACAGAGATCCGCCTGCCTCTGCCTCCCGAGTGCTGGGATTAAAGGCGTGCGCCACCAACGCCCGGCTTACAAAGTCAGTACTTAAGTCATTGCATTTATTGTCATTAGTGAAAACAGATGTCCTTATAACTCCAGTCTACAGACGGCACACTTCATAAAAAGTTTACAAAGAATATTTGGATTTCCGAATTGCTTATAGAATACCTTACAATATTAAAAACATCATCATGCTTTATACAGAAATCAATAAAAACAGTCTTTCTCAACAACAACAACAACAAAAAGATTCAGTATCACAGCTTTAAAGTGTAAGTTTATATATGAATTTAAAAAGGAATCCATTTAAACCTTGCATTGCCACATAACTACCTATTTTGCAAACTGATAAAAATGGTGTACTTTTTGAAAACATGTACATCAGAACCAGAAGGTAAATGCTTACTTTTTCCTTTATTAGCAGCATTTGGTGTGTTTTCTGTTTGGTGCCCAGAGTGCGTTTTTGACAAATCTCGAGGCAGCGCCTCTGTCAGCTTGGCAGCCCTTTTCTTGTCTGTTATTTCTTTGACTCTGTTCATGTAGACTCTGATTCTTTCCAATTCATGCTCCACTGGATGCTTCTTAGAATTAACTCCTTCAGTTGCCAAATAAACCCAAAACATTGAATTTAATGTGTTTGCAGGAACTAAACCCACCTTTCTTTGCTTGCTCCGGTGGGTCCAACTTCCACAACAACTTATTTCTAGAAACAGACTTCATGGTCTTCCCATCCACAGCACCTAGGGAGCTCTCTTAGGGCTGATGGATTCATGAATCTTTATCATAGTCTTCATTCATTTCTTTGACTAACTCTACTGAATCCTCAGACTAAAGGGGCAGTCCTGTCCCTACGAATCCTCAGACTGACTGCCAGTGGGCTCCTCTTAAACACATTCGTGAGCAGAAGAAAATCCTCTGTGAAAAGTATGCTTCATAAGAACCTGCCTAAGTATATTTGACCCAGCAGTTACTCTAGCTTACTCCATCACAAAATCAATTTTTTCCAGAGCACTTCATTACTAGGAGCAAGGCTCTTGTTAATGTTATAGGTAGAAAAGGAAGAAATGAAAAATTGTGAGGAATGAAGCATTTGGGAAATAATTTGTTAAGAAGCACTTTGATATTTCCAGAATTTTCCAAGCCCCCACCTTAAAAAGATGACGCTTTAGCCAGGCAGTATGCACCTATACTGAGAAGGCTGCATTCATGACTGGCCTGGGCACACAGCAGCAGCCAGTATTGGAAACACACGGGAAGGTCGGCACTGGCGACGGCTCAGCCTCTAAGAGCTCTGGCAGCTCTTGAATTCACGAGGCCTCCCTCGGCTTTCATTCCCAGCACCCACAGGGCAGCTCACAACTGTCTGTGACTCGTCTCAGGAGAGGGATCTGACACCCTCTTCTGGTGGCCCTAGGTACCAGGCATACACGCGTAGGCAAAACACCCATATAGATAATACGTTTTAAAACATTGATATGAATCTTCTGAACTTTATAAGCTTTTTATTAACAGCTTCAATCTGTCTCTTTCCCATATAGAGTACTAAAAGCTATGGAAGGGAAACAGCTAACAGATCAGTTGGTAAGTTCCAAGACGTATTTAAACTAATATTCATTATACGTGGGGCTGCATGTTTTTAAGGTGGTAGAGCTTAAAGAAATAATTCTTAAACTTAGTTTTTCACGACATTTGGTGGTCTGGTGTTTAAGTGTATTTGTAGTGTGGCCTTCTATACTATTGCATGGAGATATACCAAATGGGATAGGCGGTTTAACTATACAGCCATCATAAAAGATAATTATTGGCATTGTTACAGAACCAAGTAGATCATGTTTTGCAAAACTTGCTCACAATGAACACATGTGCAGGTAAGTTAATGATGAAACATAAAATACTGAAGGGTCAGGAGGAGCCGGGCATGGTGATGTGTGCCTGGAACCCATCCTTGGGAGCTGAAGATAGGAGGATGGGGATCTGAAGCCAACAGGGGCTACATGAGATGCCAGCTTAAAACAAAGCAAGAATATGGTAGTGGACTTAGGTAATTTGGTATTGCTAGGACCTTTAGAAGCCACAGAAGAAGCCGGGTGTTGGTGGCGCACACCTCTAATCCCAGCACTCAGGAGGCAGAGGCAGGCAGATCTGTGTGAGTTTGAGACCAGCCTGGTCTACAGAGCTAGTTCCAGGACAGCTTCCAAAGCCAAACAGGGAAACCTTGTTTCGAAAAAAGCCACAGAAGAAAGCATTTGGCATAGTAAACTAATTTAAAAACCTTGTACATAAAACAAAATTAACTGCTAAACTGAGGAATACAAACGTGTAAATGAGGAACTTTGACAGGGCTCTGACACTCTCTTCCCTGTTGGCAGCATCACAGAGACACACTTGACTTGGGGGGAGTCCGTGATGCTTACAGAACACTGTGTGCTCAGCAAATTTCTAAGAAATGAACACAGACACAGAGACTTGTGGGTAGCAAACTGTAAAGTTAGTAAATGAATGCAGGAGGTCAGGAGCTGAGAAGAACCCATGCCTGTGGAGGCACTTTGGTATTTATGTATTGAGATGCCACAATGAATCGGATCCTGTGACTGTCCAAATTAGTGTGGCAATGATATAAAAAATGTGCTTAGTATACATGTGTCCCACAGGAAGTATGTCTGAGATAAAATTTTTAACGAAACAAGGGTAAGGGAATGTCATTCCCTTTGTATGTGTATTTTAAATATACTCTGAAAATGGTCCATGGTGGCCTGGCATTTGCTCTGGGATGCCTCAGACATACAAAGGAAGAGCTTGCCCCGATGAGGAGGCCGGAGTCAACACAACAGTCACATTTCCTTTTTCCTGCAGTGTCTAATTTTTGTTTGTTGTTTTGTTTTACAGACAGGGTTTATCTGTGTAGTTTTGGAGCCTGTCTTGGAACTCTCTGTAGACCAGGCTGGCCTCACAGAGTTGTGCCACCACTGCCTGGCAGGGTTAATTTTTTTAAAGGTGGTATTATGTATAATTTTTATGACAATGTATATTTATGAGCTGGGCAGAGAAACTCTGTCTCAAAAAAACAAAACAAAAATGACAGAGGTGACTCATGCTGTGAATATTATTATAATTAAGATGGCCAATGAAAAAAATCTTCGAAAATCGCACCCTTTTCTATAGATTCGTCAGCCTGTTGGTGTATATCAGAGAGGCTATGGCAGAGGATCGAGTTCAAGTCCAGGCTGGAGTATACAGTAGCCTAGTCCTCGCAAGATAAAAATAGGGGCAGGTGTATTGAGGTTCTCTCAAGGAACAGAAATGATAGGACCTGTCTGCCTGTCTAGAAGAGTGACTTTTTAGAGTGACGGACAGGCTGTGGTACAGCTGGTCCAACAATAGCTGGCTCCCCATGGAAAGTCCAGGAGTCTAGTAGTTGCTCAGTCCATGATCCATGCTGGATGTCTCAGGTGTCTTCAGTATGTGCTGGAATCCTAGGAAGCAGGCTCTATGGCCAGTGAAAGAACGCCTCAGCAGCAGGACGGACGAACTGAACTTGCCAGTGAGAGTGAAGGCAGGCTGGCAAAAAGCAAAAGCGTTTCCCCACAGCCTTCATACAGGCTGCCATGAGGTGTAGCCCAGTGTTAGCATGGCTCTTCCAGCCTCAAATGAGCCAATTAACTAAGTATCCTCACACGTATGCCCAGCATGGAGGGTGGAACTCAGTCAGTCTTTTTGTGATGATGCAAATACTCTGAACCTGCTGTCTGCTGTAGCCACTAGCCATGACATGTGGGTAGTATAGGGAAATGCACGTTTATTTCATGTATTGTAATTGTATTTTGATGGGTTTGAAGCAGAGCCTTATGTAGCCCAGGGTGGCCTTGAAGTCCTGCACCTTGTGTCCCCACCTCCCAAGTGCTAGGATTCTAGTTCTATGCCTCCACACCAGCTTAGTCAGGCTGCTGGGAGCCATGAACTTGGTAGGGAAAGTTCAGAAGAATTTCCCTCTGTGCTCTATCTAACCCATGGGAAAGAACTGCTTGAATTTCTTCCTTGTTAATTTCTCAGCAGCTACTGTACTGAACCAGAAAAATACTTTCCTTTGTAATTCACCATAGGTGCAAACAGTTATAACAAATGCTGTTTTGATAGCTTTTTCTTCACTGTCTCCTAAGGTAGACCTGAAAATAAGCAGTAATTCCAGATAATTCCATGAGACTGACTTTTGTGACATTTGTTGTACCTTTTCAAGAGATGGAAAATAATGTCATGCAAGATGAGGATTGAACAGCTGAAGCAAACAATATGCAAAGGAAATGAAGAAATGAAGAAAAGTAAGTAATGTCCCTCCCTGCAGCCCCAGTGAGAGGCCTGAGTGAGTTCCATGGGCTAATGAGCTAGAGAGATGGTGAGAGAGCAGGGCCAGACGGGGATTACTCACTCTTCTGACAGAAGTCCTCCTTTAAAGAAGGGAGGGCCCAATTAGCTCACGGTTGAAGGTTGCACTTCATCCTGGAGGGAAGTTATGGCGGCAAGAGCCTGAGGCAGAGGCAGCAGGGCACGGCGCGTGGCTTCCAGTCCAGAGGAAGAGAGAAATGTGCACATACCTAGCGTGCTCTCTCTCTGTTCAGTCTGGGAACCACCCCGAGAAAGTGTGCTGCCAACACTCAAGATGGGGCTCCCCACCTCAGTTAACTCAGCCTAGAAACTCCTAACAAACACGCGCTGAGGTTTGTGTCCTGTGATACTTGGTCCTGTCAAGTTGGCAGTGTTGACCATCACAAGCTATCAGTGACTTTGAAGAGTTTACTATGGGTTCAAAACATCAAATCCCTAATTTGAAATACTTTTAAACTACAAGTATTTTGGATTTCAGATTTCGTGTGTGTGTGTGTGTGTGTGTGTGTGTGCGCGCGCGCTCGCACACTCTTATGCTTACATGTAATTGTGTATGTAAAATGATATATCGTGGTATGGGGCTCTCTAAACATGAAATTCATTTGTGTTGTATGTACCCTGGGGGTATTTTTAGTGTGCCTGCATCTTGACTTTGATAATAAGTCAAGTGTAAATTAAAATTGTAGCATCATGTTAGCACTCAAAATGTTCTGGATTTTAAGGCTGGGTGTGGTGAAATTCATCTTTAACCCCAGCACTCTGGCAGAGGCAATGGGTCTCTTGAATCTGAGGCCAGCCTGGTTTATACATCAAGTTCTAGGGCATAGTGATACCTTGTCTTAAAAAGAAAAAAAAAGTTGTGGTTTTAGAGCATTTCATTCTTCAGATTTGTTTCTTAATTGAGAAAGAGTGTTGCTCTGTAGCCCAGGTTGGCCTGAAATTCCCTAGCCTCCCCCCTCCTCATCCTGAGTGTCGTGCACAGCCCCATTTTTCAGAGTGTTTCTCAGGGAAGCGAGTCTCTGCTTGCTTGCTTTAGTCAGTATGGCGTTTGCATAGGGGGTTTCGCGGTGGTCTTGTATCACTGCCTCAGTCTGAAGGAGGGGCTGGGAATGTAGTTCACTTAGTGCTCAGTCTGAAGGAGGGGCTGGGAATGTAGTTCACTTAGTGCTCAGTCTGAAGGAGGGGCTGGGAATGTAGTTCACTTAGTGCTCAGTCTGAAGGAGGGGCTGGGAATGTAGTTCACTTAGTGCTCAGTCTGAAGGAGGGGCTGGGAATGTAGTTCACTTAGTGCTCAGTCTGAAGGAGGGGCTGGGAATGTAGTTCACTTAGTGCTCAGTCTGAAGGAGGGGCTGGGAATGTAGTTCACTTAGTGCTCAGTCTGAAGGAGGGGCTGGGAATGTAGTTCACTTAGTGCTCAGTCTGAAGGAGGGGCTGGGAATGTAGTTCACTTAGTGCTCAGTCTGAAGGAGGGGCTGGGAATGTAGTTCACTTAGTGCTCAGTCTGAAGGAGGGGCTGGGAATGTAGTTCACTTAGTGCTTTCAATGTCTTCAGCTCTTGGCTTGACCAGCAGCACCGTAAAACTAGACCCTGGGGCACATTTGCTGTTCCGCACTAGTGGACAGGAGGGGCAGAGTCTGCCTGGGGACTCACTTGTAACATTCATTACTCATGAGAAACATGAAACTGTGGCTTTTGCCCCTTGCTGAATTCGTGTATATAACATCTGTACTGTTTTCACATTATAGATAAATGCTTTTGACGTTATCATAGTGGCTGTTAAATTAGTGTTTTAGTTACTTTTTTGTTGCTGTGATAAAAGACCAGGTCAAGGCAGCTTATGAAAGACATTTAATTGGTGTGGCTGCAGGAACAGCAGAGAGCTCACTTTTCAACCCTCAGGAAGCAGGGACATTGGGAATGGCAGGAAGCTTTTTAAGCCTCAAACCCAACCCCCTAGTCACACCTCCTACAATTCTCTACCAGTTAGAGACCAAATATTTATGCATAGTGAGCCATGGGGCCATTCTCATCCAAACCACCATAACTAGTCCCCATTGTGTCTATGAATCCCTTCTTACTTAGATTAGGTACTTCATAGTGGCATGTGATGGTATCAGGGCTCCCTTGGAAGGCCCTTACTCTCCTGAAGTACTTGTGAGATGTTGGACGGGCTGGACAGCTAGAACAGTAAGGCAGCAGATGTACAGATATGGATCTTCAGGGAGAAGCGACCCCCACTTTTGCTTGCCTTCTTCAGGTGTTTGGTTCAGCAGCAGCACCAGAACTAGTTACTTAACATTGACTTGCCATTATTTCCCCCAGCAACCTCTCGATGCTCGGTGTGTCCCAGCCTTCCGATGCTGGGCAGTGTGCTGGTCATGTGCATGCACAACATTTTCATCAGCTCATTCTAGCAGGGTTCAAAACTCTAAACAAAAGCATGTCATAGAGCCGTGACTGTAGCGTATTTTAGTGTGACCTCATGACCATTTGTTAATCCAGGAGAAGTCTAGGGTCCACCCTAGGCTTACTTATTGCTCTGTTAAGTTTGTATACACTTACTGTAGATTTCCATACTGATGTCAGCTCCAATCCGCGGACCTCACTTTGGGTTGCCATGGGATGGCCGCCTGAGTTGAAAATTGTTGCTTGATAGATGGAGGCTACAGTCTTAGTGCCTGCCCTCTAGAGCCTGTGCAATTTTTGCAAGCTGTTTTAAAGGAGTTCACAAATTCTAGAAGTGATTTGTGAACCCAAGCTCACAGATGAAGAGGTTGCTACCCAGTAATCTTTTTCTTTATACTGTGTTATTGAAATACCCCATGTGCCCAGTAAAGAGCACAGACTGGAAACTATGGAGCCTGGTGGATTACTTCTCCAAAACCTTTGATCTAAGGGTTCACAGTGCAGTATGATGCACATACATTGAACCGCATGGCCAGGAGAGCTGGTTATGTGCACTTGAAGGTGGACTTGATCTGGCGGCAGAGTTGATTAGAAATAGTATTGAGTGCTTTGATGTTTCAGGGGAGACACAAGGGGGAGATGAGGGAGCCCTGAATTCCATCAGCTGCAGATGGGATACCAGAAATCCTGTCACCTGTGCTGGGAGAAGTACTGAGTTTACACTGTCCAGAAAAAGTGTGTGGCTCAGAACCATGGCTAGACAGGTTCTTGTGAGTACTTCAAGGGACAGTAGACATCACAGGCATGAAGGAATGAAACGTAAAAGTAAGCCTGAGTGGGACTAAGTCTCAGAATGCTTTACCAAGACATCTGATGGAGCTGGCTTGGGAAAGAGTTGTTTTTTTTCTGAGAGGAGACAGAAAACTAAGGAAACTCGTCCTGTGCTAACCTGCAAGCTTGGGTCCTGAGAGAGGAGCGGCTCATGTCCGCAGTAGCACTTGGGTGCATGTTACAGGCATCAGTGGACCCCGGTATGAAGAACTTAGAGCCGTCAGATGCTTTACAAGTCAGAGTCCAGACTCTGAGAACAGGTCTAGGGGGCACTTATGGGCAGAGCCTTGCTAATGAGAAAAATCGTGGAAATAATGGAAAGCTAATACTAAAAAACAGTGGAGAGAAGGAGCAAAGGAGGCACAGCCCCAGATAGATAGTGTTTGAGGGACAGTGTGGGGTGAGTGCTTGCAGGACGGTAACTGTCAGTACTCACTCATCCAGTCACTACGTTAAGAGGAGCTGAAGGATGGAGGCACTGAACACAGGGTAAAGGGAGCTGTGGCGGTGCCAGTTTTGAGGTTAAAGATTTGGCTTGTGTTTGAGAACTGTCAGGGGTTAACTGTAGTGTATAAAGATTGTGCAAGGGCCACTCGTGGTGACGCATGCCTGTAATCTCACCAGTCAGCAGGCCGAGGCAAGAGGATCTCGATCTCTCTCTCTCTCTCTCTCTCTCTCTCTCTCTCTCTCTCTCTCTCTCTCTCTCTCTCTCTCTCTCTCTCTCTCCCTCCCTCCCTCCCTCCCTCCCTCCCTCCCTCCCTCTCTCTCTCTCTCTCTCTCTCTCTCTCTCTCTCTCTCTCTCTCTCTCTCCCTCCCCTCTCTCTCTCTCTCTCTCTCTCTCTCTCTCTCTCTCTCTCTCTCTCTCTCTCTCTCTCTCTCTCTCTCTCTCTCTCTCTCTCCCTCCCCTCTCTCTCCCCCTTTCCCCCCAACATTTAAGGGAGAGTTAATTAGAAACAATAGTGAGAGAGGAAGGAAAGGCATAAATAGATTGTAGACTAGCTAATGTTATCGCTGTAGGGTGATTGCTGAGGTATCACACAGGTGATAGGTAATGGTGACGTAGAGAACTTGGCTTCACACATGTCCAGAGGTAGTGTTCCTAGAAAGCCCTGAGCTTGGTTTTGAACCTGAGAATGTGGTTCCTAGATGTTTGTCTTAGAGTTTGGTTTGTGTTTTGACCCAAACGAAGTTTAACTACAGTACAGTGACCGTCGCAGGCCTCAGACTCATAACCCACAGGCTGTCTCCAAGAAGGCTCTTAGTGGGAAGTTCTTCTTGAGGCTTTACCCTGCGTGTAGCGTGGGAAGGGGGCAGTGGTGTGTGGCAGGCGGGGCTCATGGAGGCTTGTGATTTATCGTTAGACTCTGAAGGCCTTCTCAAAAACAAGGAAAAGAACCAAAAGCTTTACAGCCGAGCACAGCGGCACCAGGATAAAAAGGAGAAGATTCAGCGGCATAACCGCAAGCTTGGGGACCTGGTGGAAAAGAAAACCATTGACTTGAAGAGTCACTATGAGCGGCTGGCGAGTCTGCGAAGGTCCCACATCTTAGAGCTCACCTCTGTCATCTTCCCAATGGATGAAGTGAAGACTTCTGTGAGGTCAGTAAGTAAGACAGCTTTGGCACGCAGGACCAGGTTCTGAGGACTGGTTTTTCCATCCAGCATGTCAGCACTTAATTTACTGGACTTCCTCCTAGGGTCCTTGTTTTCCTGGCAATGAAACTTGATTCTTATCTTCCTCAACAAACAGTAAAGGCAGGGAGGCAGCGGGGACACTGGGTGGAGCAGCCTGTGTTCTGTCACAGGCTTCCAGGTTCCATGCTGACTCACTCCTGCTGAAAGGCCATCTGCTGGGCCATGCCGTCTCAGTGCCAGCCAGGCTCCTTACTAGTTGTGTGTGAGAAGCAGTCCCGAACCACAAACCTCATTTCCTTGTCTGTTAACTGAAGATTGGCAGCCATCTGCTGTAGAGTGTGAACTTGTGTATAAGAACACACCTAGCGCCTCGACGTAGGTGCTGACTTGGTCTTTTCTGGAGATGGGCCTTCACTCTGTTCTGCCGGACAGCACTGTGGCTTCAGTGCGTAGGGTCTCTCAGGGGACAGGTGACGGTGTTTCTGCACCTCACCATTCATCACAGTCATCTGGAGAGCTTTTGGTAAAGATCACCAGGGCCTAGTGGCTGAAATCTGTAAGCCTAGTCACTTGCATGGTTAGTCTAGAGGATTGCAAGTTGAAGGCTAGCCTGGGCCACTTGACTAATCCTGTTTCAACTTAAAAAGATAGCTGAGCTGTACGCAGCGTGAGCCCCTAGTCTGTCTTTTCCCCAGCACTCAAAAAAAAGGAGGGGGAGTTAAGAGACCAGAGTGTACACTCTAGCCCCTGCTCCACCTCAGTGTTCTGTAGATGAGGGTGTACACTCTAGTCGCGCCCCCCCCCCTCCACCTCAGTGTTCTGTAGATGTGGATGCTGATTGGCGGATATGGAAACCACCACCAGAGGCTCATGTGCTCTCTAACCCCCAGGCCCTTGACCTGAGTGAGGGAACTTGTTTCTGCTGGCTCTCCTGCTCTGCCTGGACTGACAGTGGTGACTGGTAACCATATGAGTAACCATTCTTGTGTCTCCCTCAGTCTAGAATTTGGTGTGTTTCCAGATTTGGCTTCCGAGTTTTGCTTCAAGTTTGAAAATCCATTCCTTCCCTGATCTTGTGTCTAGTAGAAGGTGATAAAGCTGTGCCTGGTGGCACAGACTTGTGTGATCCCAGATATCTGGGGGGTTTCGTAGGTAGACTGCACATTAAGGCTAGCCTGGGCAACTTAGGGAGTAGCAGGGTAGTAGAGCCATTAGGCAGCAAGCAAGAGACCCTAGGTTCAATCCCCTGCGCTGACAGAAAGTCCAGATATAAACTCCAGATACTAAATTGGTAAGTATTTTGGATCAGTGGAGAAAAGTTGGACCATTTACATAAAGACAACTGAGAAGCTGGCGGAACAGAAAGAAGCCTTGTGCCCACTACATGGCCTGCAGATGGTCAGCAGGCGCCTGAGTGCAAAGCTTCACTGGACTTCAGGAGAGGGTCTTGACAGGCACTTGCAACTGCACGGGTGAATTGGGTCTGTAGACGAGTTAGGAGTTCTGTAGTGTAAATGACTTGATTTCTGTACCGCAGTAGCTGGGCGTAACAGCACATTCCTGTAGCCTTAGGAGTTCAAGACCATCCTCTGTGACATAGCAAATTCAAGGCCAGCCTGGGACACATGAGACCCTGTCTCAAAAATCAAACAAAAAGATAGACTAATTTCTTTCTTGTTGCGTTTTGTTTGTTTTTCATTATGAGGACTGAATTTAGACTTCCTAATTTTGATCATTACATTTTCCAGAATTGGCATTTGGGTAAAACTTTAAAAATCTTGCACTTTTCCACAAGGCTGAAATGTTTTGTAAACAAAACATGTACATACGCAGTCCAGAGGCACATAGTGACTTTGAGTCACAAGACCTGTAGTCCCATGATACTGTACCATGTAGTGACGTGTGAGTGACACTTGTGACAGTGTGCTTCTCATGCCCGTGTACAGGTTTGTGTGTCTGGACAAGACATGAAGAAACCCTTCCTTCTGTGCTCGTGCCAGCTAGTGACCTTTTTCTTAACGTTTATTACATGCACACTGTTGCTCTTTTAAACACTTGGGTGGCTTTGGAGTTTCCTCTGTAGTCTTCCTTGTTTGTTTGCAGAGATCCTGCAGACATGTCTTCGGAGAGTGACAGTGCCATGACCTCCAGCATGGTGAGCAAACTTGCTGAGGCCCGGAGGACAACTTACCTCTCTGGAAGATGGGTCTGTGATGACCACAACGGTGACACCAGCATTAGCATTACAGGCCCTTGGATTAGCCTCCCAAACAACGGGGACTACTCCGCCTACTACAATTGGGTAGAAGAGAAGAAAACCACCCAAGGGCCTGGTGAGAAGCAAACTATTCTTTGGGAATGCTATTTGTGTTTTGAGAGGCAGAGTTTCCATGACACAGCGAACAGTGCTGCCGTGCACAGTCGGGTGCAGTGCACACACAGCACTCTGCAAGCGTGGACTGCGGCTGTAAAGCGTTCCCCTTGTCCCAGAGGAGAGCCACATGCTACACAGGTCCCACACACTCCCTGCCCCTCTTCTGTGCGGCTGTAAAGCGTTCCCCTTGTCCCAGGGAAGAGCCACATGCTACACAGGTCCCACACACTCCCTTCCCCTCTTCTGTGCGGCTGTAAAGCGTTCCCCTTGTCCCAGAGGAGAGCCACATGCTACACAGGTCCCACACACTCCCTGCCCCTCCTCCTCAGCTCTAGGCAGCCAGATCGTCTATCCTAGACAACTCCGCAGTGAAATCATGCAGTGTGTGGTTGTTTTTGTCTGCTTTCTTCCATTTAGCCTTCTTTCACAAATTTCATATGGCATGTTAGCTTTTTATGGCTGAATAGTATTCCATTGTTTGGATATGCCACATTTTATATGTTCATTGCTTGGTAGACTGATTAATATTAATATTAGTTAATTCATATAAAAAGACATAATTAGATCATTTCTGGTGATTCATGCCTATTGTCCTAGCATTTGGAAGGCTGAGTCATGAGGGTTGTCCAGAGATCTAGGCCAGCTTGGAACTGTATAGTATAGCCAGACCTTATCTCTTTAAGTATGAGGGAAGGGAAGGAATAGCAAAGGGGAAAAACTCCTATTTATAGAAGTGTGTTTTGCCCTTTGAATTTTGGCTTTAGTTTATAGATGTCTTTGAACTGTTGAAGTACTAAATGGAAGTTGAAATGCCCCTACAGTTTGTCTTGTGTCATCGAGCATATATTTTGAGTTGAGCATTACTGGAGACTGTAGGTGTGTTAAGTTGCTTATCAAAACTCACCATCCCAGGCTGTAAAGAAATGGTGAAGGGACACAACCAGAGTGGGTGCTAAGAGAACAGCCAGCGGATTTTGGGTAGGGTAAGTTACAATGGAAGGGACAAGCACACCTTTAATCTCAGCACTCGGGTGGCAGAGGCAGGTGGATCTTTGGGTTTCAGGCCAGCCTGGTCTGTAAAACTGAGCTCCAGGACAGCCAGAGCTATACAGAGAAACCCGTCTTGAAAACCAATTAACAACAACAAAAGGAAAGGCCTTTCTGAGGAGGTGACATTTGAGTTAGACATTACTGGAGATCAAGCCTAGGGACTTTGCATGTTAGGCAAGCAAACGCCCAATCATAAGCTACAGCCTAGGCCTTGTCTGTTTCAGAGATTTATTTTTAACTGTGTGTACCCTTGTGTCTGTGGGAATGTATGCACATGAGTGTGGAGGCCAGAAGAGGGTTTTGGGTCACCTGGAGCTGGAGTTATATACAGTTGTTAGCCACTCAACACTGGTGCTGGGAACTGAACTCAGGTCTTCTGGAAGAGCAGCAAGCACTCTTAACTAACTGCTGAGTCCTCTCCCGCCTCCTTACCCCCACCCGCTTGGTTTTTAAGGGAGGGTCTCATGTGGCTCTGACTGCCCTCAGGCTTCTGACTCTCCTTCCTCAGCCTCCCATTGTAGACATTGGCAGGTAGAAGTCACCACAATGGGCGAATTTGGTCATTAGCTGTCCGATGATAGATTGCCAGGCCCAGTCAATCTAGATCTTAATCCCATTTATGCGTGGCATGTTTAGGAGTGCTTGTGTCTGACTATGCCCCATGTAGTAAGAGTGAAAGCTGGTACCAGTAATGTAACTATAGAGCTGCAAGTGAAAGCCCTCCGTTCCTTGATACCTGCACTGATGCAGAGGTGCTTTGTATGTGACTTTTGTGTCCCCTCTCAGACATGGAGCACAACAACCCTGCCTACACTATCAGCGCCGCGCTGTGCTACGCCACTCAGCTGGTCAACATTGTGTCTCACATACTTGATGTCAATCTTCCCAAAAAGCTGTGCAACAGGCAAGTCATTAAGGCGGCAGTACCGTCTTCCTCATCGATTTCCCGTGTTCCGGCTGTACCCTTACATCAGCTAAGGGAAGGCTGGACAGAGATACTAGGATTGTTTTCAGAAGGTGTTGCCAGTTTCGTTGTGTTACAGTCATGCATGAGATTGAGGAGACCGCGGAGAACCCATCGGATTCTAGGGGAGATAGCCAAGGAAGGACCAGGGTCTGCAGGGAGGATGCTGCAGGTCCTGTGCACTGAGCTGAGTGAATTGTGCTGGCTTCTTTCTCAGGAAGGCCTCACCTTTGCATTATTACTTTCATTTTATTTTTATGATTTCGGGTTTTTTCCAGACAGGGTTTTTCTGTATGGTCCTGGCTGTCCTAGAACTCACTCTTTAGACCAGGCTAGCCTCAAACTCACACTCGCCTGCCTCTGCCTCCCAAGTGCTGGGATTAGAGTGGTGTGCCACCACCACTTAGCCTCCTGTTTAAATTTTTTTTTCATTATTGTTTTTGAGACTGTTTCTCTGTGTGTAGCTCTGGGTGTCCTGGAACTCACTTTGTAGACCAGGCTGTCCTTGAACTCACAGAGATCCACCTGCCTCTGGGGTTAAAGGCATGTACCACCACTGCCCAGCTTCATGTTTAAATGTTTAAAGACACAGTCTACCCAATACACATTAGAGCTCCCATCCTCCAGTTACCCTGGATTTCTGGCAAATATAAACCTATTACCGCTGGACAGTAGTAGGCTATACTTTAGGGATTTTTTTTGTTTGTTTTTTTAAAGCAAGGTTTCATCATATAACCCAGGTTGGTGTGGCCTAGAGGCTGCTCCTGCCTCAGTATTCTGGCTGCTGGGCTTTTAGGCATGTGTTCAAGTAATTAATACCCAGAATTTATGAGGGTGATAAGTGCCCGTGGCGATCATTGAGGCTAGGAGGGCATATATTACTTTTCCCTTCTTCTTCTTCTTCTTTTTTTTTTTTTTTTAATATACTGGGGAATTGAACCCAGATGGGCAAGAGCTTTTCCTCTGAACTCTACCCCTAGCCCAGGGCATGAAGGAGGGAAGGGAACAAGCCGTGGATGGGGACCCTGGGGATGAAAGCTGCAGGTAAGGAAGGCACCAAGTTCCGGGAGGAGGGAGGCGGTGGAGATGAAGAGGAACACTCACGTGCCCCCCATGGAGCCCGGGGAGTATCCAGCTGTCACTCTGCACAGAGTGGGTGGGGGTTGCCCCATGGAGCCCGGGGAGTGTCCAGCCGTCACTCTGCACAGAGTGGGTGGGGGTTGCCCACAGTCCCCGTCTCGGCTTCATAAATGAGCCCCCACATAGCACTTCTGTAGCATCCCTGCTTGTTTGGCGTGAGCTCCTGAGACAGCGTTGCTCAGGCACCCAGGCATGTGCATTTGCAGTTTCTGTAGATGTGGGGAACTGCTCCCCATCAGGGCAGGAGTTCAGTGCTTAGGTAGTGTCTGTTCCAGGCAGTTGACTAAGAGGAAGAATGTGCTGGACTGTGGTTACAATACAGCCTTCAGCAGGAATGCTTTAACAGACCTTCCTCAGGACCATCTAAGAAGCCGTACCCTTGTCTTACAGTGAGTTCTGCGGGGAAAACCTCAGCAAACAGAAACTGACTCGTGCAGTGAGGAGACTGAACACAAACATCCTTTACCTGTGTTCCTCTCAGGTACGGACCCTGTGCTTGGAACTCATCTTTAACTTGCTGTGTGTTTGCAAGTATTAATGAAGCCTCTGCTTTTTCTAGCACGTGAATTTAGATCAGTTACAACCACTGCATACACTCAGGAACCTGATGCACTTGGTCAGCCCACACTCTGAGCACCTAGGCAGGTGAGTTGTATGTGGCTCTTCTCGAAGCACTGTTCTCTGTGACTGCTCTGAAGTAGAGCCAGGTGTTCCCCAAGTCCCACATTCTCTGGCAAGGACAAAAGTTGTACGGTCCTGTGCAGAAGGGAGCAGTTGATCATGCGTGGTCTTCTACTCTCCCCTTGCAGTCATTTCTGAGAGAAAGCTGCAATAGAGCACGTTTAGATTGCGACATGCCGTAGGTAGAGCAGACTCCATGCCCTGGCTGCCACCTTGTGCTCCCCCTGAGCCTCCCTTATTTCTTTTCTAAGTGGCCCTGGCTAAGTGCTGTCCCTTCTGTGTGCTCCTTTGTGCGTGCTTACCCTGCGCCTGTGGGATCTCCTCATTGCCAAGTTAATGTGGTCACTGCTCATTACAAGTAGTGGACATTCATAGAGTGAGTGCACTGGGTAACTTCAGTCGCTCAGCCCACCAGAGCAAAGACAAGGCTCATCTTTGTACCTGCTCTGTGCCCTGACCATTGACCTTGCTCTCATGAGGGTGTGCGAGTGTTTTTGTAGAGGAGCATAGCTGGTGTGTCTACACTTTGGAAAATGGGTTTCCGTTAGTGATTTTGCTCAGGCTATAAGCACGCTGAGTGTGTTTAAGTTAGACTACACAAAACACTGGTGTTTGTTACTCTGAAATATTAGAGTTTTGAGCTGGCTGAGGTGGCAAGTGCCACTGAGGACTGTGGACAAGGACCACAGCTTAGTAAGTAAGGTCTTGTCTCAAAAGGGGCAGGCGTACCCTGAGTTACAGTAACACACAAGCCTGGCATGTGCAGCACTTAAAACATGTATTTGCATTTTTGACTCATATTTTCTTTTGTTTGTTTGTTTGTTTGTTTGAGACAGGGTTTCTCTATTGTTTTGGAGGCTTTTCTGGAACTTACTCTGTAGACCAGGCTGGCCTCGAACTCACAGAGATCCGCCTGCCTCTGCCTCCCGAGTGCTGGGATTAAGGGGGTGCACCACCAACGCCCTGCTGACTCATTATATTTTCAACTCTTAAGTTTCTGTGGAAAGAAAGTAGTGAGGTCTTGTTGGGCACACATTTCTTGACTGGCTTCTTGGTACTGGATAAGGAGTAGACTGGTCTGAGGCAGTGAAATCCTCCTCATTTCCTCCCGAAAGCCCAGTTGGTGAGAATTGTAGCAGGTACTACAGCGTTTTGACAAACTGACTCCAAAGTTCACCCCAAAGCATTGGCAGCAAGGACCAAGTAAGAATAATATGGGCTGGCCGCTTTCCAAACAGGGTGTATAAAGTTAGTTTTGAAAACGGTGTCTTTTGGGGGAAGGTGGGGCAGTGAGGTAGCTTGGTGGGTAAAGGGGTGAAGGTACTTTACCTGGCTTAAATTTCCCTGCCCCACATGGTGGAAGGACAGAAACGATCCCCACAGATTGTACCATGGCTCCCACATGCTTGCCATGGCTTGCCTACCCCCAGTAATAAACAAAAGTAAAATGTTTGTTTAATCTCAGTATTCTGGAAACTGAGGCAGAAGGCCTGTGACTTTGAGGCCAACCTGGGGCTACATAGTAAGATCTTGTCTCAGATACTACCATTAAGAAAGATGACGTTAGCATATAAATAGTATGTATAGTAATTAGGAAAGAGACCGAGTCTTGAAGCAGATGGTGTGCCTACAGGACTGTTTGAGTTGCCTGCTGAATTAGATCATCATTGTTAATAGTGTTGGGCTAGTGAGCATTCAAGTGAGGAAGAAGCTGATTTTCTATCATATTTTGCATACAAAAACAGTAACAGAAATAAGAGATCCTGTTTTTAAATAATATATAAAAGGCCTAAGAAAAAAGACTACTTACAGGTAGGGAGGTAAATTTTAACTAAGCCATACCTCAGAAATCTGCAAATGAAAGGAGCTGCATGCATTCCTATGTGGGAACTGCCTGACTCTGGTAAGAAAGGCTCTATATCTTAAACAGAGACAAGTAGTAGATAGGTTTACCTCGTCTATACTAGAGAGCAAATCATGTCTGGAGTAGGTCAGTCTTTTGCTCAGTAAGGGACAAGCAAAGGACTCAAGAAACAAAACACAACTTAAAAGGCAGGCATGTGTTAATGCCCGATTGGAGTGGGGTGGGTGGGAGGGTGGTGCTCATGCAGCTCCCTGTGTGCATACAGGTCAGGACCCTTTGAAGTGCGAGCAGACCTTGAGGAATCCATGGAGTTTGTAGACCCCGGAGTTGCAGGAGAATCAGATGTGAGTGGAGACGAGCGTGTGAGCGATGAGGAGACCGACCTGGGCACGGACTGGGAGAACCTGCCGAGCCCCAGATTCTGTGACATCCCTTCCCAGCCCGTGGAAGTCTCCCAGAGCCAGAGCTCCCAGGCGTCCCCACCCATAGCCAGCAGCAGTGCTGGTGGGATGATCTCCTCCGCGGCGGCCTCGGTGACCTCCTGGTTCAAAGCTTATACCGGACACCGCTAATAAGTGTAGACCAGAACCTGAAACCTTTCCCACTGCCCTCTAGTAACCTTGTCTGTAGTTGCCAGAGGGGCTATCCTAGCGTTAGGACAGCACGTGTGCCTGTCCGGTGGCCTGTGATGGTGACTGGCGTGCTCGGGATCTCTGCCAGCCTTGAGCTTGTGGCTTCCTGGACCCTCGGTCCGACCCCTCCACCCCAGTGTGCTGGTTCCTGGGATGTCAAGTCTTCCCGACACAAGTTGTAGACTTCGTCAGATCACAAGGAGCTGTTTCTTGGTGGTGAGGAATGAAAGACAAAAGCTGCGTTTGTCTTTTTGTCATCTTTTTGAGACTTGCCAGCCAGTTTTGGTCTTATGGGGGAGGACAGGACAAGCTTACTGCTGTCGCCATGGGTCACATTCCTGATTTTCTACCACACACCAAAGAAACCGCGGTCTATTCTCCAGACCCACACCCACCAATGGGGGAATCCTAGCTTCAATGTATAGAGATGTCTAAACAGTTTTCTTGTACTGAGGGGAAATAAGTACATTCTTGTTCATTGGAGTTACGGTACTGCACTCTTCTTAAATTGGGATTTTTCCCTTTGTCGTTCCCTACTTGAGCTAAATGCAGCCTGGGCACAGTTTGAACACTTGATTAAGTGGTCATTCTCTTGCTGTCCAGTTTCTTGGAGGTGGGTGTTAACTAGTCGTTAACAAGCAGAAATCCCTCCTGCTTGTTCCTGGGGTCTGAGAGGCTCTGGAGTGTGGAGCACTGTGCAGCTGTCCCAGGAGATGCTCAAGGACAATCTTACAACTGTAATGAGAGGCATTGTGTTCAAGCTTGTAAGTAGTTCTATTTTACTTTTAATAACTTCAAAAGAGAAAAGTCCTATGTAACAGACCACAGAAACCCTGTGGAAAGCACCCTCCCAGGCGGTGGTGCCACGCCTTCTTGGCATGACTGGTGTGACATGTGATGTGTGACGTGTGATGGTGTGATGTGGGATATGTGACGGTGTGACGTGGGATGTGTGACGGTGTGACGTGGGATGGTGTGACGTGGGACGGTGTGACGTGGCATGGTGGGATGTGGGATGTGTGACGTTGTGACGTGGGATGTCTGATGGTGGATGGTACCTCAGACAAGTCCTGCAGCAGTGTGTCCAGCCCGAGCTTCTGGTCCCTGTTGTTGGAGTTGATTCTTTGCAGACTGAGGTGTAGAGAGCGTCTGCTGGGTGTAGACCTGTGGAAAGGACTTCACTCCTGTCCAGGAGCCCCATGGTCCCTAACTCTAGATCCTCCACCTAGGGAGGAGACAGCTTCCCTCTTGCAGGTGTTCATTTGGCTGGAGTCTGTTTCCACTCAGCTTCACAATTGTTGGGCTTGCATTTCACCCTCTAGTTGTAGGATTTGTAGATGAAGTCTGGTGGAATGAACAGAACCAGCTGGAAAAACCATGAGCTTGAGCTGAAGCTACAGAAAGAGTGCGGAGGTCACAACTCGTGTCTACAGCAGTTAACGGAGCAGATGCAGGAAGTGTAGGGTCGATGGGTTGTTTTGTTTCTACTATCAAATAGAGGCACTTTTGTCACTTTATGTCACAGTAAACGATGGCCCTGGGCTGCAGAGATGCTTGGAGTTTATTGTGCACTGGATCCACTGTTGTGAATAGTCTTAGATACACATTTCAACCATGGTTTCCCTGCGCTCTTTGCTGCTCATTGAAACCTTTGTTGTAGGTGCCAGAACCATATGTAAACAGCTTTCTGAAAAGATGAAGCTGGTATTTTTTTAAACCAAAAGCCATGGAAGCTGGTCATGTTTTCCATTTTGAAATGGTTTATTGAAACAAGGTGATACTAATAGAAACTCAGAGGCACCTTGCAGGCTGCTCTCAACAGCCTCATTAAAGACATTTAGGTAACTGAAGAGAACCAAGAGTGAACTTAGCTGGAGAGACTAAGTCACCATGGTGTGGTGGGCAGCACTGGGAGAGCATTCGGGTGTGTGTGGGGAAGGAAAGAGCTGCAGTTCCCTCGCTGCTGCGTCAGGGTGAGTCACACACGGTTTCTAAAGTTTTATTGTATTACTGCAATAAATCCTTTAACAGTACTGATATGTGTGCCTTTTCCTAGTTGCTATTTCTTTCTGCTGCTACATTAACGAGTGCAAGCTAACCCTGGAGCACTTCATATAAACTAAAGAATAGTTAAAGATTTTTTTGCTAGGTAAGAATTTTTTTTAAAGTTACTGATTATGGGGCCTTTAATAGTGATGGCCCATCTTTGGCAAACAGAACATAGTTGCCGATCAGTTACATATTTCATTCTCTAAAAAATGTTTTTCTTTGATAGCTACCTCTAACCTTGGGGCTTGACCTGGGGAAGGAGTGGGCCCCTGAGCTACTGACATGGACCTGCTCACTCCTTTCCGGACGAGAGAAAATGTTAGAGAGACATCTCAAGCCAAGAGCAGTCTGCTAGCTTTGGAAATCCTTTTTGTAATTAATCTCTCAGATGGGCACCAGTAGTTCCCGGGGACTGTGGAAAAGCCACCTCTAGTGGAGGGGGGTGACTGCAGTGGGACAGTTGGGGCCCTCAGGAAGTAGCTGCAGGGTCAGCCATGCGCACTCATTGCTTTACCTGGATGGAAGGCTCTTAAAAGAGGGTGTGGGCTTCAGAGTTCCTGCCATTCCATTTTCCTAGGTAGAGCCAGAAGCAAGTTTCCATGTAGCACACAAAGGAAAGGGGAGACTTCACAGTTACATCTGTCTGGTACAGGAAGTGAGGCAGAGGGGAAGGAAAGGGTCACTTCCCAGTGGGTAGAAGTTTGAGCCTAGGCTTGGGTGTTACATCTGAGCACCATCATCTCCATTCAGGCATCTGGAGAGAAAATAGCCTGGAAAGATTTTTACTCATAGGGTTAAATAGACGAAGTGAATTTTTTGTAGACACCACAAAAACCACCACAGTGGCAAACTTAGTAGTTTTAAAAGCTATTTTGTGTGGATGTCAAATGACGATGTGTCTGAGTCATCTCATTCTCCTATGTCAAATGACGATGTGTCTGAGGCTATCTCATTCTCCTATGTCCCAGGGATTGCACTCAGGGTCAGCAGACTTGGTGGTAAGTGCTTTTACGCACTGGACCACCTTGGCAACCTAGGACAAACTTCTTGAAGAATTAAAATGGTAATTCAGCAAGAGCCACACTAAAATGTTGTCATCGTGTTTGTAGGAAGGAGTATAAGATACTGGGATGTGAGGGGATCTTATAGAAACTTTAACATACTTAAAAATGCAAGAAATTGATGCTGGGGACATGGCTTAGAGGTTAAGAGCACCCACGTGGTGGCGCACAACCATCCTAACTCCACCCAAGGGGTCCAGCTCCACCCTCTGGCTGCTGTGGGCATCAGGGATGGATGTGCTGCAGATACGTAGATGCAGGCAAAGCACTCGTACACATACAAATACGTCTTCGAAATCGTTTTTTGCTTGTTTTTGAGACAGGGTCTCACTATGAAGCCCTGGCTGACCTGAAACTTGCAATGTAGATCAGGCTAACCTCAAACTCATAGAGATCCACCTGCCCCTTCCTCCTGAGTGCTGGGATTAAAGGCATCTGCCACCATGCCCAAGCTATAAATCTTTTTCAAAAGCCAAGAGACGACCAACTGGAGGTTCAAGGTCACTAATGAGAATGGACTGGGGCCAGTTGAGAGAACACTCCTTAGTGAAGAGGACTCCCAGATCTCCCATCATCATTATATACCCCTCACCTTTGAGTGTGGTGTTGTAGCATTTATGACTTCCAAAGACACCCAGATGTTGAGAGAACTTTCCACCACGTGTTTAGTAGTACATTTTCCTAGCTTTAAGAGAATTCTGAAGACATTTCTGAGGGTGTCGCAGACAAGCATATGCATAGCTCTCAGTTTGGATTATAGCTACCTGGTTTGGCAGCAGTAGCCAGAAGGTGTCAAGTGACATCTGGTCAGCAGTTGAGTAGGAGGCGGTCTGGTGTTGACAGGGAAATGTGCTGTCTTGTGGGTGTGGCTGGTGATGGCATCAGGGAATTCTCTTTGATGACCTTAGAGAAAGACCCTAGGAGCTTCGAGCTTCTGCTGCACTGGTCGTGTCCAAGATACTTGCTCTCACATTGCTCATTTCTACTGGTATGAGCCTGTAACTGCATCTGGGGCACTCGCTGGGACCCACTAAATCCCAACCTTGCCTTCAGCTCCTCTGTGTACTGTTTAAGATCAGTGAGGTAGAGCTGCATGGTCAAGGGGAAGTAATGGGACTTCTGCAGTGATTTGCACATGGTCTCCTTAAAGTGATGGCCTCTTCTGAAATTGAGTATCTAAGTACTGAGGGCCTCTGGAAGAGCCTCAAGGTTCTTTCTTCCCAGGCACAGAGGCAGATGTTGTGAAGTAGCCCTTAAGGGACTTTACATTGGGAAGGTCTGTTATAGTGACTGCATCCCTGCTTCATATATCCTACGCAGGGCTTTCTTGAGCTATCTCCCATTTGCTCCTCCAAGCTCACTCCTTGCTCAGTAGCCAGGGCATCCATTTTTGATGCCTTCCTCTTCTATCCCATCTGTTTCTTCAGATCCATCACTATACACAACCCTTGGTTCTGTCACACATACCTGTGAAGCAAAGCTACCACCTTGGACTTACCTGGGGACTCCCAAAGCTGATTCTGTAGTTACAGGATGAGCCTTGAGTTTTGTCCTCCAGAGAAGAGCCCTTAAGTGTTTGGCTAGGTATGGTGGCCTGTGCCTGTATCCCTAGAACTGGGAGGCAGAGGCAGGTGTATTTGAGTTGGTTAGTCTGATGTGATGGTTCAAAAGGAAACGGCCCCTAAAGGGAGTGGCACTATGAGGAGGCATGGCCTTATTGAACAAAGTGTTTTCCTGTGGAGGTGGAGATCTCCCGCTCAAAGCTATCTCCAGAGACATGCATGCCAAGATATACAGGACATCGCTACTTCTCCAGCACCAAGATTGCCTGCCTGTCACCATGTCCCACCACGATAATGGACTGAACCTCTGAAAACGCTAGCACACTAATTAAATGTTTTCCTTAATAAAAGTTCCTGTGGTCATGGTGTCTCTTCACGATAAACATCCCAACTAAGACACACAGTGATTTCCAGGACAGCCATAGCTACCTGAGTGTTGTGTGGTGTCTGTGTAGAGGGTAAGGGCAGAGGTGAGGAGTATAGGCTGATGATGGGTTTTTGGTCTTTGCCCTGGGTTTGGCAAACATTGGGGATGGGTGTGGCCCTGTATCCACACCCTTTAAATAAACACACGGATGTGCTCATTTTCATAGTGGTGATTTGTTCTTCAGAATCTTAGGTTCAAGAAGGCCAGGACCAAGACTGCTGGCCAAGGAAAGGGTCATGCCATAGGTCCCACTTTGAACCCCAGGACAGCCAGCGTCCTGTCTCCACTTGGGAGGGAAAATACGGCCAAAGTAGAGTCAATGGCTACACTACCTGCAGCCACTCAGAGAGGACTGGAGAGGGGAAGGATAGTGTGAAGGTCAGCAGCTTGGTCCCAGAATAAGGAAGGCTAGGCTTGGCTCCATTCCTACCAATCTGTAGACACAGCTATGCAGACAGGTCACGCGATGCCACGATGTAGCAGGAACCAACTATTTTTCTGATTGAATCCGGAAAGTACACATGACAAAGGTGACTAGACAGAACCCAAGGGAACCCCAGGGCCAGGCTATAAGCACCTGCCCATAGCCTGCTGCTGGGAGCTACTGGTATAGAGCAAGCATCTATATAGTGGGGTTCAGAACAAAACAGCTGTAACTCCTGTAGGAACTTCTCTAGACACGTGTGGTCTCCAGCGATGACCTATGTCCAGAGGCAAGGGTCCTTTAAATTCTCTTCAGGTTTCCATAGAAACTGTGCAATGAGCTAGTGTTGTCCAAACCTGTCAGCACCAGGCGCACTGAGTTGGCACTAGGAATCCAGGTCTGGGGGCACATGCCTGTAATCCCAGCTAACCTGGACTGCCTGCCTGAGACCATGCCTCAAAAAAAAAAAAAAAGTGAAAAGGGCTGGGAATTTGGCTCAGCTCTAGAGAGCTTGCTGATCAAACATGGGTTGCAAACATACCATGAAATGTACCACGAGGCAAGTTTCCTTTGGCTGGGTAGGATAGGGGAGGGCCCTGGAGTGTTTGTGTCATGGTCCTCCGATGTGGGAAGGGAGCACCAAGCTGGCTTTAGTAAGGTGAGCCATTTTCCTGGGGGCTCAGAGACATGCTGCTCTTCCAGAGGACCTGGCTTCAGTTGCCAGCACTTACACGACAGCTATCAACTGTTTTAGGGGACATTGCCATCTTTTGGCTTTCACAGAACTGCATGCACACAGTACATACAGGCAAAACATACAAAATCGTAAAACCAAAATCAAAGCATGGGTTATTTACCCATTCGACACTAGGGGGCCACATAATCTTTCTCCAAAAGCAGCATTACATTCTGGCAGTAGGGACCAGCATGGGTGCCTTCCAATACCGCCAGCAAAGCTCTGGGAACCATGTCCTGCCACAGGTCAGATTAGATCATCTAATGCCGAGTGGCATGGGGCCATCCTGTGCCCCTGCTCTCAGCCAGCCCAGCCCCTCACACAGCTGTGTAGCATGTGATAACCAGGTCAGGAATGCTGACTCATGAAAACCCAGTTATTTATCCTGTGCACCCATGGGGGACAACCACGGCCAGCAACGGGTGAACACACAGAGAGTGAGGTCCGTCACACCCTTGTCATCCCATACTGTGAGGGATTAAACCACACACACACCAGACAGATTGCCAGCGTGGCACAAACCAACAACAGATGTCTTGGAGACAAGCTGTTCTCAGCCGGAGTCTGCAGGCCAGCATACAATTGCCCATTCGTCAGGGGTGGCCTCCCCGGCATGGAGTCTCTGCAGTTTCAGCCTGCTCTCGCTCAGCAGTTAGGAGCCACAGACCCAAGATTGGCTCCCAGCACTCAAACCTGCTGCTGCTTGTATCCAGATGTAGGGCATCTGACACCTTCTGGGTTACAAGGGCAAGTGCACTCACTTGTGTACACACATACACACACACACACACACACACCCTCCCTCCGTCTCTCACGCATGCACACACGCAGAAGTTTGGAAGTCACTCTGCCCTTATACCTTAGCTCAACACAGTCAAGCTGGCTCTACCTAATGTCCTCCTGGCCAGATTTGCATCCTATTTAAAGTAACAACTGCCCTTTGCCCTTTCCTTTCCCATCACTCACTCACGTTTGTCATCTGTCCTCTCTGCAACTTAGTAACAAGGTTTTGTTTCTTTGCTCTGTGTGTGTGTGTGTTTTCATTTCAGACTAACCTAGCTTTTGCATTTTTTTTTTACAGCCCCAACTTTTGGGGGCTCAGGCTTCACAGGCTTTGTTAAGCATCATGTGTCCACAAACCTGAAGAGTTTCAATGGCCTCTAAGTGACTACTACAGTGGACAAATTGTGAGAATTCATTGGATAGTATCTTGCTATACAGGGAATATGGCATAGACAAATTCAAAATGTTAAAAGGCTGTTACATTTTAAACATAATTTAAGGGAGGATGATTTTGTCATAGATATAAGTACCCAGGGACGCCTCAAGCTCAGCAGTGATCTTGCCTGGGTTCTGGGATTACAGGCATGAGCCACCACAAGCAGCTTCAAGACAGACAACACTTTAGAAGGCCCTTAACAAGCAGGCTGGAGAGATGGCACTGCAGTTAAGAGCACCAGCTGGTATTCCAGAGGACCCAGGTTTGATTCCCAGCAGCTGCATGAGGGCTCACAACCCATTCCAATCCCAGGGGACCTAATGCCCTCTCTTGGCCTTTCCAGGCACCTGGCAAGCATGTGGTGCATACATTCATGCAGGCAAAAATATCCATACACATCAAAGTGTGTGTTGTTTTTACTTACACTCAATTTATAAGTACCTTAAAGCACCTCACCTCGCGGAGCTGGAGAGAGGACTCTGGCAGAAAACCAGGTGTGTTTGTTGGGCGGCTCCCACTGCCTGTGACGCAGGCTGCCTGGTGGAGGATCTGCCACCTTTGTCCCCCTAGGTGCTTGCACTCAAACGCAAGCGCATGCACACACGAAATAAACCTTTGGGCTGCCATGGCTCAGCAGCTGAGAGAGCTTGTTGCTCTTGCAGGACCCAGATTTGGCTTCCAGCAGTTTCAGAGGGTCCAACACCGCCCACATTTACACCTAAAACCTTAAAAAGATTATATCTTACACCTTCCCCCCAGATCTTTGTAAACTCAGGCCCCATTTAAAATACGCAGTTTATTGAAGTTTTTTTAAAATTTTTAACTGGACAAAAGGATGGACAATGTTTTAATCTGACTATTATATGACACTGTCTTATTCTGTGGTGATTATGTTTAGTCAACTGTCCATAATGTACATTACTGGATTTTAATCACGTTATTTACAGAGGGGCCAAAGCACTCATCTCCAGGTACAGGCGCTCAGGTTTAACGTGCACTTTCACAGCCCCATGAAAACACAACCATTATATACACTGTAAACAGCACAGGGCATAAACTCCATCTGCAAACATCATTCTCACAGAATCAAGCATACAAGGTGTAGGTAAGGTGCCCAACTTTCTGTTTAGGCATAATTCTCAGAGGTTTTGCTTTTTCCACTCACTCCAAATACAGAGCCAGTACTGGGACACTTCGGGATCCCCTGAGGGGACTGCCTGGTGACCTCTAGATGTCCTTGATGGAGACAGGCAGAGTTCTTCACAGCTGAAAGGGTTAAGTGTGAGGCACCACCATACAAAACCATGGAACTAATCTCATGTACGGCTGGCAAATTAAGTGTTTAAAAACTGCCCATGCAATGGCAGTCTGGTCTGAGCAGACTCTGGCAAGGGTGGGGATGAGGTCACACGCCTCAGGGTTGACCCAGGTGTTTCACAGTCCTGCTGCCTCTTGTGTGGACTTCAGTACTCCTCCTCCGTTTCGCTCCCTCTTGATTTCTTATGGACTGCCCGATTAAAGCTGTGGCAGGCAGGTAACCAGTGATTGTCATGCAGGCCCAGCTTGCAGCCAGGAAAACCCTTCTGAGACCGGTGGCAGCACATCCAGTACCCGGGTCCGTAAGGCAGTGCCTGGCAATAGGGCTTGGGGTGCCACCGGCACAGGGACACATCCCCTTTCACATACTTCTTCTTGCACTGCTTGCAAGGGTCTTCTCTATAGCGTGGGTCTCGAACCCACCGGGAATCTGCTGGCCGGATGTTGTAGTATTCGATGATGAACTTGAAATAGCGGCAGGTGCATTTAAGAACCGCTAAACTCCTGGTGGGGAGTAACCTGAAGATTTTAACCATGATGTGGTGAGGCAGGCATACCATGTACTGCTGAGGCTCCAGAAGCTGCTGGATTTTAAACCTGGTCTCCAGGAAATCCTGAGACACCTGCTTCTTCCAACTGGATGCCTCAGCCACCGGTAATGCACTTTCCACCCCAGTGGCTGCTGGGAATGGCTCCACAGGAACATCTTTCTCCTGGCATACGCTGCTGCCTTCAGCAGCGTCTTGAGGCTTCCTGGCCTCTGAAGCCTCTTGTGCTGTGAGTCCATTCAACTGGGAGCATTCTTGCTGGTCCTTTCCAGGTGAGAGGAAAAACAGCATCCCTGGGAGAGGCTCCTCAAGGGAGTCTAAAGCGGAAGGCCGGTCACTCTCTACCGTGCAAACAGTGGTGCTCACGCACACAGGCTCCCGTCTGTGATCGGGGCTGTGCTTTGCGAGTGGTACAAGTGCTCTGCTCATACAGCTGACAGCCTCTGCGGGCAACTCGGTGACCTGCAGACAGGCGTGAGGAGAACCGGACAATTCATCAAATTCGTCCGCCATTTCTACGTCGTGCCTGTTGCAGTTTTTCGCAGCTGTTTGCTGACCTGGTTCTAACTCCGTGCTGTCCATGTGGAAGCTCACACCTGCTGGCGAGGGACAACCCTGAGCCATACCATCCCAGGCCTGGTCACCTGCAGAACAGTGGTCAGCTGTGGAAGGTCCCTCACCCACACGCACGGACTGCGTGGGATGTCCTTGGGGGTCAGGAACATCTGCGGGGTCTTTTCCATTTTGGTCACTGGGCTGAGCACCATTAGTGAGCAGCACCCTGCCTACATTTCGACGGAAGCTGTTATTCCGTGACAGGGTCCCCGGTTCCCGCTGGCCCTGGTGCTTCAGGCACTCGGATTCCAGCCTGGCTACCATGTCAAGGACACGGACTGGCTCGCTCTGTGATCTGCCAGCTTCAGGATTTCCTCTTTCTGTGGGTTCTTCACAAGTTCCTGGGGCAGAGAAGGGCTCGAGCGCAGGTGGCCCGCCTCGGGACTGGCCAGTGATCTTCACAATGGCGGGTGAGTTTGTGCAGTGTTTCGCACAGCTAGCTAGCAGGGCGCTGGCTCTGTGCTCAAGGAAGGCTACCATCTGTATCACCGACAGGGGCCTCCCAGTACAGACGCCATCCCCACTGTCACTCACATAATGCACAGAGCAGTGCTCGATGCCACACGCAAACGGCTCAGGCTGGTAGCACTGGCTGTTGGTTTCTCTCATCCTTTCTAACTGTACCTTGGCTTTCTTAAGATCCCCTGATTTTTTCCTTCTTTTAGTGGCTCTCCCATCGATATCCCAGGAGCTTTTGATTTTCATAGAGCCTATCCTATTGCTGCACTGGTGGGCTGCAAAGAATGCAATCTTCTCCTTCGTGTTTCCAGGCTTGACAATCGTCCAACTGCCAGGCAGCCCTTCTCCACTCTGCTGTGCCGCTGCAGACGGCGCATTCTTCCTGTTCACATTCAAGCTGTTCTCCACAGGACTCTTCCCACTCATACTGCACACGACATTTGGAGAAAGGATTCCAAAGGGTTTTCTACACGAGGCTTTGACAAGGGAGGCTGAAGGAAAGACAGTTGGTTTCATGTAGCTGGCTTTGCCCTTTTCATCCCGGACAGCGTTTTGGGGGCTCACAGGTGTTTTCAGAGGGTCCTTGCTGACTTCGAGAGGGCACTCTCTCTTCTGGAGTTTCCAATATGGCTTAAGGTGCATAACAGGTGCCCTGGAACAGGAGAGAACAAAACCGACTTAGGTGAAGCTTCTAGCAAGAGGAATTTGTCTTCCCAACTTCTAAAGTCTTTACCAAGTCACATTTCAGCTCGTCAGGGCTACTGGTTAACGTAACTGAATCCTCAGACTGTTCGTTTTGTCTCGTTTTTAGGATTAGGGTTTCACCTAGGCCAGGCTGGCCTATGACTTTCTGATTCTCCTGCCTCCATAATCCCAAGATTAGACCAGTATTGGGGACTGGACCCAGGACTCTGTAGACGCTAAGCAAGAACTCTACCAGCCGAGTTACAATCCCAGCTCCCCTCCATCTTATTCCCGTAACTAGTATTGGGGACTGGACCCAGGACTCTGTAGACGCTAAGCGAGAACTCTACCAGCCGAGTTACAATCCCAGCCCCTCCATCTTATTCCCGTAACTAGTATTGGGGACTGGACCCAGGACTCTGTAGACACTAAGCGAGAACTCTACCAGCCGAATTACAATCCCAGCCCCTCCATCTTATTCCCGTAAGTAGTGGCTCATTACATAGCTCATGCTGCTTTCAAACTTGTGATCCTCCTGCCTCTGCTTCCCGCAATGCTGGGGCAATAGACATGCATACCATGCCCATTCCTAGTAGATTGTTTTGTTTGGTGGGGTTTTTTGTTGTGTTTGGTGGGTGGGTTGGTTGGTTTGCTCGAGACAGCATCTCAGTATGTAACCCTGGCTGTCCTGAAACTCACAAAAGATCTGCCTGTCTCCCAACGTGCTGGGTTTAAAGGTGTGGCAGCAACTCTCGGCCTCTAGCATATGTTTAATCATTATCATTCTAGGTCATCACAACTACATGCATCTTACCGAGTTGCATGTAAAAATAACTATCATTTCCTCCACCATTCCCACAGTGTTGGCTATTTTGCTGCCTGTAACTTTTCACTTATTGCGGTATACTTTATATACTAGTCTAGGCTTTCTAAATAATCTAGTCATATGAACTATCCATCGTAATTGGCCTTTTTGCTAAGGCCAAGTGTCAAATCTGTGTTAAATCTTCTGTAGCTATATATAAAATATAGAGCCCAGATTCCTTACTAATTCAAAAAAAGTTTGAACTACTTCAGACAAACAAAACAAAAGCCATGGTCCCTCTTCTTTCCTTCCTGGCCAGGGGGCAAGGATGAAGGCATTTCTAAATGAGACAGAAAGACAGAAAGATGATTAGTGGACACTGGCCTGCGTCCTGGTCTCTGCTATCACCGAGTAGTTAGACGGGGAGCACAATTCGGGCACAGTGCTTCCTCTCTGTTAGCAGGAAGGTTGAAACACTAGATAGCCAATGACACGCACCCTAGCCATGGCTACAAAATTGCCCTGGGATTAAAGAAAGAATGTTTTCTAGAGATATCTTCTAGAGATGTCTGGTCTCCTGGAAAATAATCCTACCAACCAAAATAAAGGCCTGCCGTCACAGGTTTGTGAGAGGGAGGCTACACCTGCAGACCCGTGCATGGAGAGATCCACTCTACTGCAGACTGTCCCGCAGACACACATTCCGGCAGTAATGAAGTATAAACTTCACATGGCTACAGTGCCTGAGGCAGCGAGCAGCCTTTAACTCGTCAGGTGTCAGTGCTGACAGCCAAGTGCGCCTTCTTCTTTACCTTTCAGTTTAACTTCTGTAGCTCTCTTCTGGTCTCAGCTGTCTTCTAACCATGTAAATGGAGACTCTACACTTCCGGTATATAAAGGGCCTTTAATCAGTTTTTTTACATTTACTTCTATATAAGCGCAGGCGCACGCCATGCAGCACACATGGAGAAGTCAGGAGTCGGTTCACCATGTGAACTCCAGGGGTCAAGCTCGGGTCTCCAGGTTTGGTGGCAAGCACCTCTACACAGGGAGCTATCTCCACCCTGCGGCAGATCTTACCAAGGTCCTTCTGGTTGCTCTCTGATAGCCCATAACCTAAGCCTCTGCACAGGGCTTCGCCCTTTCTGCACCACAACATTTTAATAGCTTTCTGTTAAATGCTAGAACCCAGAATTCTTCAAGAACAAGATGATATATAAATATTGAGTGTTCTCTTTGTGCCAACTGTGTGCTGGGTTTTCCTAACCTCTGTGAGTGAAGTCAAAGCAATGGAGGTCAAAGAGGGAAAAATCAGTTATCACATAATAAATTCACTACAGAAGAGCTGTGAATACATTCAAACTTTAGCACTGCGTTGCACAATGTTGTCTTTGCCTCCCTTTACCCTCACAGTATTTAGGTGCTGTGTGCTGTGCTGTCTAGTTTGATGTCAACTTGACACTAGAGTCATCTGAGAGGGAACAACCGAGGAAACGCCCCCCGAAGACCAGGCTGTATGCAGACAAGCCTCTAGGGCATTTTATTTAGTAACGGATAGGGGAGGGTACGGTCCATTTGGGTGGTGCCATCCCTTGTCTGTGGTCCTGGGTTCTATAAGAACACAGGCTGAGCAAGCTATAGGGAGCAAGCCAGTGAGCAGCGCCCCTCCATGGCCTCTGCATCAGCTCCTGCCTCCAGGTTCCTGCTCTGCTCGAGTTCCTGTCCTGACTTTCAGTGATGAACAGTGATATGGAAGTGCAAGTCAAATAAACCCTTTCCTCCTCAATTTGATTTTGGTCATGGTGTTTCATCACAGCAATAGTAACCCTAACTAGGCCAGGCACTATTACTTACAGAGACAGCTGAGAAGAAATGAGTATAATAAAGGAAGGCATTTGTTTACATAAAACCTGTAGAGTTCACTCTACTAATAACGGGGAATAGATAAAAACTGGAGGTGTCCCAAAGAAGGAAGTGAGGGAGTAAAGATGGCCAAAACCCAACTGAGTGCTGGGGACGGAGGCCTAGGACGCGCCATGTTCAGTGTTGCTTCTGGGTGGAGACTGGGAGGAGGATTGTGAACTTCCCCTTCCCTGGTGGACCTCACAGTTCAGAGACAAAACCTAGGCTCTGGTAAGACTTAACTACAAACATCTGAGTTTTGGTTGAAATTGGCGAATTAAGGATATAACGCAGGTACCAGGACATCTACTACAAAAACACCAAAATCTAAACAGATGGCAGCACTGTGCCTACTCACCCCACTCGAGAGACAAGCACAGTGGGAAGTTGCAGCCAGGTTTCCATGCTGCCATTTCCTCATTACTCAGGCAGGGCCTTGTCCAGGCTAGGCATCTGTGCTAGGCAAGCACTCTGTCACTGAGCTACACCCCCAGGTCTCAAAACTATTGTGAAAGTTTGCTAACTAGCTAGGCGCAATGGCACATGCCTACAGTCCCCGGCCATATGTAGAGACAGAGACAGAAGGATGAGGACCGAGACAGCGGGAAGTCAGTGTCAGCTGTGGGCGCCCTCAGCTACACAGCGATTCTGAGAGCAGCTTCCGCCATGCTGACCCTGTTTTTAAACAAAGTCTGCTATAACTGAGCTCTCCTCTCTTGTAATGAAATAAAATGCAAACTTGTACAGCACCTACAAGCAGCTTCTTTGGCCCTCAGGGGGGCCCATTCATCAGTTTCCCCAGGATTGGGCCCAGGTTCTGTTTTAAATCTTATGCTAAAGTTGGAAGGGACTTCGGTGACAGCCAACAGTAAGTGTTGGTGGGGCTTTGGCTTTGAGCTCCTCAAGGTTCACCCTGTTTACAGACCACGATTTCTTTTAGTAATTAGTTCCCCCATATGGATGAATCTCCATCTCGCCATTTCCTGTGGTATACTCCTAACGAGAGCCTGGTAGACTTGCTCACCTGCACGTCAGTAAGGACCTCAAAACCCAACACTAGTGGATGACAGCCTCAGGTACCCACACTAGCAATCCAGAAACTGAGTCACTTGGATTTCTTCTCCCCGGTTCCTACACCAAGTCATTAAAATATGCCCTCCTCGGGGCATTTTCCCTGGCACAACTGCTGGGTTTAACACCGTCTTGTCTCTGTTGGCTGTTGGTGGCTGCATACGAGAGAATCAGAGTGCCAGAGCCCACCCCAGCCAACGTAGCGCTTCCAGTCCTGTCTTGTCCTCTTACTTACAGAACTGTTAGAATGGGGCCACAAAGATGAAAGCTGATCACATCACTAATCAGTTTCAAAGCAACAAGATCCATAACACCCAGCAGCGTCGGCGCTCATTCACATGACTGTCCACTCTTCTACTTCCCTCTAACTACTTAGCATTACTAACCAGTCAGGACTGGACACTTACACAACAACCATGAGACACAGTCACTGCTACAAAGTGACAAAAACTAAACAATTACAAGAGAATGTGATAGGCTGTATAGGTGTCATGGATGCTGTTAGAGGCTATGGGGGAAGAGAAGAGGGGTGGGCATTTTAGAGGCGAGGCTACCAGCCCTGAACTCCAGGGGAAACGGGTCTCAGAGGCCCTTACCTTCTAAGCTAAAGCCTTGAAGGAAAACACAAAAAGTCCTAAGAGGCTCAAAAGGAGATGTGTGGGGAAATGCAGCTAACAAGAGTCTGAGCAAGGGTCCTAGCAGTACAGAGATGGCATGTAAGCAAGCAAGATTCTCAGTTCTTTACAGTTAGAGGCTGGGGAAGCATCAAGGGTCCGCAAATGTACGGCTTCGGCAACTGCATGAAGAATGGTTCGTCTCTGGATGGCTGGCCAGATCTGCAGAAAGGAAGGTAGAGAGGTAAGTTCAGTTTCTCAGAAATGTGTGGCGTGAGTGCTGTAAAACACAGACAAGAGGTCAGGTAGACAAGTAGAAAGGGGAGGACAGCTGCCACTGAAGTATTCCACAAGAGATTGAAACAGGCTGTCTCGATCAATACAAGTCTCCCAAGATTTTGCATGAGAAACATGCATACTGTTTCTGCATAAAAAATGTGTATAGATGGAATACGGTAGCTTGGAAGCAGAGGGAGAAGGATGAGGGATTTGATGCACACATGGATGCTCGCACCCTATCAAGACTATCTTTAAAAACCCAAAACGAACAAAAATGGGACTAGTCACTGATAGATTCTGTAACAACACAGAGCACATGCTGACGAGTAAACAAATATTCAGTAGTTAATTAAAAGACTTGTGGTTAGAAGAAAGGAAAGAACCAATGTCTGAGGACAGTGCCAGCCCCTGGCGGACTCTTGCTGGCCCACCGTGAGGAAAGCAGACAGTGCGGATCAGAGCGGCTTTTGGGAGCTGACAGTAAGGGAGAGCGTATCTATCCCACTGGATTTGCAGGACTGGGGTGAGATTAACAACAAGGACTCAGACTCAGACACGTCACACAGTGATGGCCAACATCTAGTCTTCAAAAGCTCACAGCACTCTGGTTAGACACCGTCTAATTCTATCCAGCTCACAGATGTTTGGGAAGAGGAGGGAGAGGCGCTCAGTGCTTAAGAGCACCGGCTGCTCTTGCAGAGGGTTTGGATTCCAGCTCACATGGTGGCTCACAGTCATCTGTGAACCAACTCCAGGGCATCCAATTTCCAGTGCCATCATCTGACCTCTGTAGGAGCTTGTTATTCATATGGTAATGGTACACATACACACATGAGGCAAATACTTACACATAAAAACATCTTAAGGAAAAAGTGGGAAAACTCATCTGAAGATAATATAAAATCACAAGTTTAAGCTGTAAAAGATTAAATGTGTGTTCAAAAATGTGTATGTAATCCTAGCATTCAGGAAAGTGAAGATGGCTGTGAGTTCAAGGTCTGCCTGGCCCTCGTAAGTTCCATGCCAGCCTGGGTTATGATGTGAGACTTATATTCCCCCACCTGCAGCCAGAAACTTGTGTGTGAACACCAACCATCAGAAAGTCAAAGTAAAGTTTTCATATGTGCAGTGCTGGGGTCAAACCCAGAGCCTTGCATACGGTAGGCAAGCAAAGTGACCAGCTCTAGCTAGGTCTTTGGAGGTAGGTCTCAGTGTGCAGTCCAGGCCCTTGCTAGGACTACAGGTATTTACTGCCAAATAATAACTATGCAGAGGGAGGGATAAACCTGATCGCTAAGGAATTAAAAGGGAACAGATGATGAGAATAAGAAAGGAGACTTAGAATTTTTTTAAAGATCCTGTTTGGGTGGTGGTGGCACACGCCTTTAATCCTAGCCAGCACTCGGGAGGTAGAAGCAGGAGGATCTCTGAGTTTGAGGCCAGCCTGTACTACAGATCAAGTTCCAGGACAGAGAAACCCTGTCTCAAAAAAGGCTTCTAGAAAACAAGTACGAGTTCTGCACCGTCTTCAGCAGTCATTACCAGACGGTTAGCAGATCTAGCAGCACGCTTGGGGGGGGGGGGGGGGATGATTGATAGTTAACCTTGATTGTCAACTCTATGGGACTGTGAGCATGTCCCTGAGGAGCTTCTAAACAGGCTAAGTGAGGTGGAAGATCTACTCTAAATGTGAGGTCCCAGTTGACTGAAAAGGAAAAGGACATTTCTGCATTCATTGCTCTCTGCTTCTTGTGAAAGCAATGTCACAGCAGCCTCCTGCTCCTGCCCGCCCCACCCACTCCCACCGGCAACTATAGCAACTTCTGCAACTGTTAACCAAATCCTTATTTACTGCTTTTGTCAGGTATTTTGTTATTGTAACAAGAAAGTAACTAAGACATGACTTCTGGAGACCCATAGCTAGGTCATGATAAAATGAAGACTAAAACTGCAAGCTCAGGGATGGAGAGATGGCTCAGTAGTTAAGAGCACTCGGAGTCCTTACAAAGGATGACTTGGATTCTCTAACTCCAATGCCAGAGGAGCCACTAACACCCTCTTCTGGCCTCTACAGTTATCGTGTATAAATGTACACATACATATATTCAGGCAAACATCCACACACATAATGTAAAAATAATAAGTCTTACAACATACAGAACCTCTTAGATTATTTTTCTTTTTATAAAAAAATAGGTAACCCAATGTGGTGACTCATACCAGTAAATTTAACACTTAGGACACTGAGGCAAGAGAATCAAAAATTGAGAGGCTGGCCTGAACTACATAGTAACACAAAACAAAACCAAAACCCAAATTTAAAACGCCCACCACAGGTGGCTGCTGGGCATGCTAGCACACACCTGCAGTCCAGGTACTCAGCACCATGAGGTAAGACTATGTTAGCTCTGGAGCTAAGGGTCAGCCTGCACACTACATCAAGACCTCAAACAAAATATGGAAGTAACAACTAAATGTCTAGGCTCATCTACAGTACAAATAAAGTTGCACAGGGTTCTGAGGGCATTTATCAAAAGAGCCTTTATCTCTGAAATGAGGTCATTTTCTTACATGCATGACAGAAGACTGAAACAAACAAGCCTTATCAGACCAGTAGTTTTCAAGAAGGCACAAGACATTCCACCGCTGTTAACTGAAGAAGGAGCCACGATCAGGAGGGTGTGAATACAGACACAGGCACAAGAAAAGATGCACCCCACATCTCAAAGCACTGACAGCATGCATCCAACTCCCACAGAACACTAAAAAAGTCTGGTATGTGGGAAAATAGCTTCTTAAAACGAGCTCCAGAAGACTAGGTGTTGGCTTTGTCAGGGAACACTTCAGCTCTTTTTTCATTTTCAGTTTAAGAGCACAGTCTCACTATGTAGCTCAGGCTGGTTTGAACTTAGGGACTCAATATCCCCTTACCACCCATGTACCCTGGGCCATAGACACCTGGCCTTACCCGTTCACACATGGTTTTAAAGGAACACTCACCAAAGCCTCTATTGCTGATTTGTCCCAGGGTGGTTGAATGGTTAGTAACACATAATAGGGGGAAACTGTTACGTCTTAATTGATGGTAACGAACCCACACGGAGAATGGCCTTCACCTTCGGAAGCAAGCTGTTCTGAAGAGCTTGGGTGTTCACAGCTCCATCTTAGAACTGGCAATGGCACTTAGAGACAACGGTGCCCACTTGACTCAGAGTTCATTATTACATGAATTCTACACCATAAAGAAGACAATGCTTTTTCCGAACGTAACTAATTTATGGTAAACTCCATGAGACAATGAAATAGGCAAACACAGTTGCGCTGATTTAGCACTCATTTTAAGTCATCGTTACCTCCTTGGAGGCCCTCTTTTTCAGTGTAGTCATACTCTGACTCCTGAGGGCTACGTCTGCAACAGACAAACGAGGGGTCACAACTCCTAACATTAAAGAAAAGCAACAAATAGATCACACGCCTTTAATCCCCCGATGGGGGAGGTGCAGAGGCAGGTAGAGCTCTGTGAGTTTGAGGCCAGCCTGGTGATGGAAAGAGACAGGGGAGAGAGAGGAGAAGCAGGGAGAGACGGAAGGGGGAAAAAAAGGAAAACAGGAAACTCTGCATAATCCATGTGAGAATATAGTGAACAAACCTCTAACTTACTGGAAAATATATACGGAAAGGAAAAACGTTATCATTCGTGTTAGTTACAATTTCTTTTATATCAAGTACAATGATCTAAACTTTTTCCAGTCAGCGAATCCTTTGAAATCCTGACCAAAGAAAACAGACCACTCCTGAGGAAATGGCCCATCTTTGAAATCTGTCAGTGTTTCAATCTTCACAAACCACCCCTCTTCAGTTCAGCAGGGTCCACAGAAGTACGTCATGGAGCTCTCACTTACAGACCACTTGTTTATCAAAACTGAAAGCAGGCGTTGGGCCAGGGCTGTGGCTTGCTGGCACAGCGCCTGTTCAGCACTCAGGAAGCCCGGGACTTGATCCCCAGCCCTGCAGAGACCTGGACGAGGTGGCACGGCTGGGGGGTGAAGGCACAGAGTCAGACGGTCAGGACAGTGTCCAGCTACACAGCAAGTCCCAGGCCAGCATGGTACATGAGACCCTCTCAGAACTACCAGATGAAAAGCCTCTTAAAAGACAAGCAGGCCTGGAACCCACTGTGGAAGAAGAGAATCACTTGTCCTCTGACCTCACATGTGTGTTTATGTGTACACGCACAATCAAGAAGAAAACATTTTTAATCAAACAAAGTGCTTGAAACAGAGGTTGCCTTGAAAACGACAAGGCATAGGAACATGCTCACATTCAGCTATTTTCCAAAGCATGAGAGGCAGCGCAATCATCCATTCACTAACTAATTTTAAATACTAAGGGGTAAGAGGAAAAAAAGAAAATTAGTCCTTTGTAAAAGCTAAACTGGGTTGGAGAGATGGCTCTGTTGGTCAAGTGCTTGCCTTACAGGCTCAAGGGCTGAGTGACACCCAGGGCCCATATAAAAAGCTTGAACACAGTGACATGCACTTGTATTCCAGCTGAGGATTAACAGAGGGCTGCTGGGTTCACTGCCAGTAAGAGAGCCT